CAGTATCACTACAGAAGTAGATTGCCCAATCTTCCTTCTGAGCAGTGGCTCATGGGTTTGAACTGTCAGTATGCTGCCAACAATTACAAGTGGTGGAAAGACATAAAACCAGCTCTAGTTGCTCCAGTACTAAGCTCCTTCCTGGGAGTCAGATACTTAGGGAGTATTGACTCTTCAGTTACCAAGTCCCATCCCCTTGACCGACTGCCTCAATAAGGGCCCAACTCATGTAATGCACTGTTGGGACCATAAAATATTAAGTTGCCTCCTAAATATTGGATTCATTCCAGGAACATTTGCTATCGCCAAGCTAAATCAGCCTGTCCAATACCACAAAACCTTACTCCCTTTTAACCAAGGAAGAAAAACTTCCAAAAGAGCACTACTCAATTAATTGCTCTAATATTCCTATAGCACACACATCTGGTAACAAATAGCTATTCCCGTAACCTAAACTGCAAAGCTTTTTCTGAAATCATTGGGTTGCAGAATTTTAAAAATGTATCTGCTTGCCAAAATTCCAATTTGGGTCAATTTTCCAAGGCTCTGTGCTTCTCTCCCTTTTCTACTAGGGAAGAGGAAAAGGAGGCAGCTGGCAGCTGGTGATTGAAATACAATTCCCCCTGGCATGTAAATCTTGGCTGACACCAGTGTGTTATTCCAGCCAGGCTCCTGGTGCTCCCTGGACCACCTGGCCAAGGCCTGCCCTTCCTGACAATTGTCTTCTGGATCCCATTGACAGTCAGGGTGGTAATCAGTGCAGCCTGCATCTGTGCAGTTCTTCATGGTTTCTAAAGCATTTTCACCTATAAAATCTCATCTGGGCCTCAGAAAACTGTGGGAGAGAATTAGAGCAGGTAAAACTATTCCCATTTTCCAGATAGGAAAACTTGGACTCTGAGGAGATAAATGATTTACTCAAGAATGCACAGTTAGTTTATCATAATCTGATGTCCTAACCTAGGTCTTCTATCTCTTACTCAAAAAGGAAAGGACTCTGCTGAAAGTAGCATGCCCTGATCCTCAGACCTACTGGGTTTGGGATTATTTCCAGTGGTACTCTACTTTTTAACTGCAAATAATAATTAATCTGGCCATGCAGACAGACCCACAAAAACAACTGTTTTATCACCAGCATTATAAAGAGATAACTATAAAAAATCAACATATATATGATGGATATATTATGACATTAGTATTCTATATTATATACTATAGAAGTTCTGGTGGTACAGTGGTTAAGCACTTTGCTGGTAACCAAAAGTTTGGTGGTTTAAGCCCAACAACTGCTCTGTGAGAGAAAGATGCAGCATTCTGCTTCCATGAAGATTTACAGCATTGGAAACCCTGTGGGTTTCAAGCATAGTTCTACTATGTCCTATAGAGTCACTATGAGTCAGAATTCAACTCAATGGTAATGGGTTTATAATATTATGACAAAAATAGTATATAATATAACATATTTATGATTTAGTTCAAGATTTTTCATGCTAATGGGTCATAGCCAATTAATTTGTATCATTAAATCAATTTAATGGATTGCTACCAGCATTAAGATAAAACAGTTGAATGATACAGGATAGGATAGAATTGAAAATGTCAGGGTGCATTGCTTGACTCAAAGGGAGCTATTGTTCTTGGAAGCCTTGTGTTCGTATATATGTGTATGCTGGATCACAATGTTGAAAGTATTTCTTACTGAGTAGTCTTTCTCTTTTCCTTGTTTTTCCTCTCTCCTTTTTCTGCCTTCTTTTTTCTTCTCTCTCTCCTTCTCTATGTATATATGGTGTATGCCCAAATATCCACTACCACTACTTATGGTATGTACCCCCATACCTGTCAAAATAGAGCTGTGCTCCTTAGAGTTTTCAATGTCTCTGAACTTTTGGAATAAATCGCCAAATATCTGCCATCTTTGTCCTATTTTTAGGTACCCTCCTCACTCCCCACATCCATCCCTTCCACCTCTAGTATTATCATTTCCTCACTCAAGAGTCTGGGGCAAGGATTGCTCTCTAAAGTTGATTTCCTTGAGCTCCTTCCATTTTCCCATCTGTTGAAAAAGTACTTGGGTAATGTCTTCAAGTCAGGGTCTGCTAGCTCTTTCCATGTTTTAGAAATCAGTTACTCTCTCTAACCCATCATATTTCCATTTCAGATGAGGCAGCTCAAGCCTGAAGCAATGAAGTCCCCAGGAAGCAGCACTTTGTGCCTCATGCTCATTGTGATTTATTCGTCCCAAGCTACGAAGAACTTGAATTTAGAACCTCTTGTTCATCCTTCGGTGAGTAAATCCATGTCTTCCATATTTTCCCCTGTTATATTTCTTTGATTTTCTGGGAATGTCACAGACAGAAAAAGCTTTAAAACAGAACAAAACAAAAACACTTTTCTAGTACCTTTGAGAAAATACTGCAAATATGGGGAGGAAAGGAAGATGAACATAAAGGGACATTAATATAATTACTGGGCTACAAATCGCCATACTTGGAAATCCGTGGTGACACAAGAAAAGGTTAAAATAAATTCAAGAGAGATTCCCCCAGGCTTTCCCCCTCTTTTTTTTTTTTTTTTTTAATTTATTAGGATTTGGGTGATGATTTACAG